TGGGGCTGTTTTGACTAAAACAAGAAGCCTAAAATTATAAGGTGGAAATTGCCCTCCATTAGGCCACTGAATTAAAGACACATCAACATTATATAAAAGCTCAAACAACTGAAGGATTTTCAAAGGTCCTAAGTCACTTTTATGTATCATGCCAATCATATGGGATAAATACTTCTGAAAATAGCAATTTTTTTTTTTTAACTCTCAGCTTTAAAGTTTAACAACAAGTTAATACATATGTAAGACCGCATTGAGAGGACATATTTGTTTTCATGTTCATCATTTGTTTCATGTTCAAGTATGTCCATATTCATCAATCAGTATATCTTAACATAAGGAGGAGGAAAGTGGACGTTAGTTTTTAATGTTTTAAAATCCTTCAGATTTTACTTGGAAAAATTTGAGAGAAATGTCTCCTTTAGGAAGTGCTATACGGTATGAAATACGCCTTGGCTGGGATTAATCAGTTACTACTGTCAGGGATTAGAAGGCAGCTTGTGTGGGAGTGTTGTTGGATTTATCTGCATGATGCAACAACTTGAAACATATTTCTTCCTGCTGACCCCACCCTGCCTCTCTTTATCAGTGCGGCATCTTCTGTTTACATTAAAGGCCTCTGAATGACTAATTCTCTCCTGCTCATTCCTCTTAATAAAAAATAAAAAATCTCCCAAAGATTATCAGAAGATGCCAGGTTTGCTTTTCTGTATAAATGTTGGTTTGCCATATGTAGGTAATCATGAAGCATAGTGCATACCAATACTGCCTCATGTTTATGAAGCTTGAAAGCAAAGTAGAAGATCTTGTCTTTCATAGTGGAAAAATACATTTATATTATACGGCGAGAACAAGACTAGATGAGAAATGTTCAGAACCAGAAAAATGTATCTAAAAAAAGCCCCCATGGTGGGACACTTAGAGCTCTAGTGACAAAAACCCCAGTGTGCCCTTTGGATCAGAGGCCAAAGGTGCATATCTATACATGTTTGTGTGTGTGTATGTAAGATTAACGTGGTGGCAATTTGTGAAGCTGTATTTATAGATGGAAAGAAGTCCCGTCCGCTTCTGTAATACTCCACAGATCAAAGCTTTCATGTGTTCATTGTAGCATGATCCCACTTCAAAGCTGGGCACATAGATGAGATCCGACTTGCAGGAGGGGTGGGACCCTGTGATATGTTTCAATATTCCTCTGACTCTGTGACCTCTGACTTGTGGGCATTTATGCTCATAACGCTTCCCCTCCATTCAATAGGAGCCTCAGATGGAGTGATTTCGATCGAGAAGAGCTTGCTTAGGGCTGTCGTTTCAGTTTTGACTGCAGTCCTCGAATAAACCCACCCACAGTCATTTTATGCACATATAGATCATATATTTTTAGTTTTTTGTTCAGCTGTTTTTTTTTTTCACTTTTCTTAACGCTTCTCCTAATTTGCATAAACCAGAAAACGCTTAAATGCTATGTAGTTTTCTCACATGTATGTAGAATATGTTTTAATAATGAGGTGCAACAAAATGGAAAAATATACAGTTGACATAAATTTAGAAATATGATTTTATGAGAATAGAGAAAAATAGAGGAAACCTTTTTCAGAGGGACAGCACCATGGCAGGTATTAAAAAGAGACAAAGACAAAAATATGAAGTTAAACTGAACAAAGTAATTAAGTATTTACGTGTGTGGAGCTAGTTGGATTATTTTCTGTGGGAATGTATGAGTGCATTTTGTTTCTAAGCCATAATGGGTCTCTGTCTGAAGCTATTTTGTCTTCTCTTCAAACTATTTTTGGTTTTTCACTCTTTTTGTAAAATATATGTATTTTTATTTATTGTTTAAGTTATTTAAATCCCCTCCTATGAATCACTGAGTCAAAAAAAGTTTTTAAAATAGGTAAAATTTAGCCGATTTACTATATATTACAATTCTGTTACTTACAAGTCATCTTAAACTATCTGCCACAAAAGGTTTGTACAAATTTATTTTTAATGAATCTATGAAAATGTAGAAAAGATAAAACTATTTGACAGACATAAAAAAGTACTTTTAGAAATACTATAATGATTTTAAAACATTATAGAGCAAACTGAATAAAAGATGCTGGATTTTTCAGGTCCTGTGTTTCTGTTAAAAGAACTGATAAAGCAATATAAAAAAAATCCACTGCAAAAACCAAAAAAAAAGCCGGGAGTATAAATGCTAGAGAGCATTATGGGTTTTCATAAGAGAGCCTAACTCAACTTAAATAAGCAAAGAAGTGATGGTTTACAGTTAATTGAGATTATTACTGTTCGTGTATGAAGAGATTAATCATTTACTGTAGCATTCAAAAAAGTCAAAAATATTAAATAGAGTCATCAGTATTAACACTTTAATTGGAAAAAGGAAAATATCTGAAACTGCTGGCTCAGTCAACCGTTATTCTCTGGTATGATGTTGGATCATTTGAGAGATTAAAGACAGATACATTGATCTAGGTTATATTATGAATGAAAATATCAGTTTAGTAAACCTTTAGACTCTTGGTAGGAAAAGTTTCCGTATATATATATATATATATATATATATATATATATATATATATATATATATATATATATATATAATATATATATATATATATATATGTAAATATGTGGGTGTGGTTTTTCAGTGGTAGTTCTTCTAAACAGCTAAGATTGATTTATTCGCTTCCATTAGCTAGGCTAT